CTCAAGTTCGCTTTCCAATTCTCTCACACGAGTCATCAAAGTCGTTGTGGGGCTGTTCGGTGATGGTGGTCGAACGTTGATGACCTTCCCTGTCCTTGTCCGTTCGATAAGGTGCTCTGGTATGTCCTTGAATGGTGTCATACCCTCGGCGCGGTCAGCTTGTCTCATCGCGGTTTGAAGGACGTGTTCATCGTTGTCTCGTCATCCGTGAAATACGATACATTTGATTCATCTGAGACCATTGGAGTTGCCTAAAGGTCATCCCCTGCTGTCTTATCGTTCAATGAAAGGTCATCCAATCCCAGTTCAACCAGTTCCTCTTCGGTGATCTTTGTCTTTTCAACTTCCATCTGAGCCAGGTTCGCATTTTTAACCTGCTCATCGATTCCGACAGTGGTAGGATCCAACTGTGATGCTCCGACTGCTTCCGCTCCTTTTTTTGTGGATTTTTCTTCCCCAGTGACCTTTGTCTGGTTCATCGGTTTACCTCCCGCCGCAAACGCGGGGGTTTGCTTTCCGTCACCGCTGGAGCTCACTTCGTTCTGTATAGCTCCGAGCGCCACTTGGTATGTGCTGTCACTGCCTTTGCTGTCCTTTCTTGCAAAGGTCACAGCCGCTCGGGTCCGTCTATCATGTCCGACTGGACGCGCGAGCGACTTGTATTCCTTCTTATAAGGATCAACTGCGCCTTGCTGTGATCCTCGGGAGCTCCTGCTTCCCTGGCTGCTGTGTGATGTCGGTTCCTCATTGTCTTTATCCATGATGATCGGATAACTTAGACGCTCCCGTCAATTGTTCTCACACACACGTTATTGTATGGTTTATTCAATTGTCCTAAAGGTCACTTTCGTTCTGTGAAATTTTTCCAAGTCCCTGTTCGCCGTCCGTTCCACGGGGGAATGATCCAAATGATCCAATTCTTCTCCACAATCCGCTCCCGCGTTGCCACTATTCCGTAGCGGTTGTGCCGCACGCTTTTGGTCTACTACTGTGCCGGCTGACTGCCGTAGCAACAGTAGTGGTGCTCTACAACCAGTTTGGTGGAGACTGATCTACTTGTTCCGTGCGCCCCTTTCGGCGCTTCGTCGCTTGTGGCCCACGTCTTAGGATTCGCTGAATCCTTGCCGAGTAGCAATGACACCAGTGTAGGTCTTCGCTGAAGACTCTACACCGAGGAACACTGCCGTCTGAACTCTTGCACTCTTGCTCAGTCCTTGCAACAGCACAGGTCTTCGCTGAAGACTCTGTACCGAATACCAGGCTGGAATCCGATGAGGAACTTGCACCGCTTGTGGTGTTGCGCTTTGCTGTTGGACAGACCTGTGCCTTACTGGCCACGGATATCACGTCAAGTAACAGGCCAAATATGCCTGACACAAATCAAATCAAATCAAATCAGAGAACCGCTGTCGGCTCTGCTACCATCTAATGCTAGATCCAGAATGGATCCAGGGACAGAGACCTAAACGGGATAGATCCTGTGGAGTGAGCAATGCGATCTGGATTGCGAACTAAGCGAAAACACTAGACGTCGCACCGCTAATTGCTGACTTTTAATAATCTTGAAAGTCTGCACAACAGAAAATCAACACTGATCGGCGCAGCTCGATCGTCAATCGTAGAGCCAATTCAACACTGTGCAGCACGTGCTATGCCGCGCCCACTAACAAAACTCAAGCCAATCAGAAGCGAGACACAACACAGACACGTAATCCATGGCGTAGCGCCTAGCGCCACAGGCGTGAACGCTAGTGATCCCTCGCCTCACACACCCTTTGAAAAAAATTTTAATCAAACCAGGAAAGCAGTACAGCAAGTTCCGCAAAACGTTCTATTCATTGCAGCTGCCATTGTCTGTTCCTCTTGTTCCTGTAACAAATGAGCATTGTCCATTTGTGACAAGCGGCAGATTTGCGGCAGGCCAGATACTGTGACCAGCAAACCTGTGCAGTGATGATCAATGCAAAAAATGCACACACAGGTCACAGTATTCAGAGTAACTTTTTAAGTCAAAAAGCTTGCAAAAATATTGAAAGTGCACTAAACACTTTTATTATCGGTTTGTTTTAGTATTAGCTGGCAGCAGAATCTAGATTTTTTTATTATATTACATATCACCGTGTAGGCGCTTGGCGAGCAATTGCTTAATTAAAATGCCATCGTGTGCCGCGCCGGGATGCGGCGTCGGAAACAGTTCTTACAACGGCCCTTCGAAACGTTTGTTTGAATGTCCTAAGCAACCAGAAGGTATGCGTGAGCGTTGGATACAATCGATCCCGCGCGATTGGTCAAAACTAACACCTCCACAACGGTTAATGGTATGCGAAGATCATTTCTCACCATCTCTAATTGTTATCGGGTGCTGTACCATCTGTATGGCCTAATCAACCGGCATATTTAACGAAGGTAAACACCGCCTGCCGTGATGGACCTGCGTTAAAGAGCAAAAAAAGGAAAGAAGAAACACCTCGCATTATCATAAACGATAATCAACAAACTACCGCGGAAACAGCTATCACTGATTATTCACAGCTAGCGGCAGAAGTGCAGATTATGTTAGCTACCATGAAGGAAGAACCGTCAAACAAAATTCATCAACAAACTTTGTCCTACTGGTATGTTAATGTATTCCCGGATATCAGTTTGACGGTTTTGTTATATCAGTTTGATAAGGTTTTGTTATATCAGTTTGACGCATCCTGCCCATCGTCGACAGTATCACGGACCATACTCTTTCCTGGTACATTATTGCCAACTGTATTCATAGGTATGTACCAATAGTCATTATAATCTCGTATAAATTTACCTCGTATAAATTTACTGTGTACAATACATGCGTAAATACATGCAATATGTACAGTACGTGCTACAACTGGATAATTCCATGCATACTTTTACTAAAAGGGACAGTATGTACTATAATAATGGTTGCTAAATCTAAATATCACAATTTTTAAATAAAGGATCGAAAATGTTTGCCGGCAAAGCGCCTCTACGCAAGTGGTCTGACCTTACGGAGCTTATCACATCTGTTTCCGGAACCAGTTGATTTACTTAGCAAGCAGAGCAGAACTGGCAAGTGACGTGGAAACTGGAAACACTCGATAACCGAAAAACATGATGAAATCGAGCGTTACAGCGGCGCGATTAGCCAAAATGGGCGCGAAATGGACGCGCGTTCACGTAGATGGCACGCTGCAGCGCTTTGTATTAGCGCTCGTATGTAGTTCCAGGTCGCAGCGTATGTATACTCACTAATACTGGGTCCGAAGTGTCAGAACGAACGAAGTACAGTAATTACAAATGTATGCTCAGAACGTTTTATTTTTACAATGCGTAATCGACAATATAAGTTTTTGATTAAATCAATAAGTTAAAGGATTTTCAGCTCTCTTTACTGCGGTTGTTGCTGGATATATGGTTGTTGAAATTTTACGCTTTCCTCTTTATTTGTTCGGTAAAGGTCGAGAATGTATGTATTGTGAAGCGATTCGAGTGAAATGTTTTGTTACGCACTCCACAGGTGAAAATGAAAATTCAGACCGATGTATCTGCATAGAGCAGAAGAAACTCTTTGACCAACTTATGCCCAATAAGCCGACAGAAACCGATTATAAATGGCGACAGCGGCTGGTCCATCTCCTAAATCATCACGGAAGTTTCATTGCATATCAACCGAAAGTAGCTTTAACAAAGCATAATTTGTCGATACATGCACATTGCACATCTCATAAGTTCTCCAACAAGCCTCGTCTGATGAAGAGGTTTACCGAAGAAGCCGCACGAGAAATCGGGAAGAAAGGTCAAGCAGAGGAGTTTGCAGCGCAGTTAAATAACTGAGCGCCAGGAAACAGCAGCCATGTGAATAAGATCATGAATAATCAAAACCCGTTATTTTATAGGAGACTAAAAGAGTTCAGTTTAGCCAGCTGGAGAACGGAAAAAGGAATTATTGAGCTATTCAGATCAAGCAGATGCATGATTGAATACTGTGTTTGGTACAGCCGGAAATCCTACCAAGGCAACCGATCAGAACCAGAAAAACAAAATTACTAAAAGCCGGCCACACGAGTCACTTCGCCAGCTGCCATTCACTATGTAACTGCAAACTGGATTCGTAATTTCGTACTCGTACTATGCAATGAAAAACTGAATTCCGAATACGATCTCAAGTAACGATGCTTCACATCGTAGTCAGGATTTGAAAGTTAAAAGAGCATAAGTGAGGTTCAGTGTCAGATGTGCATAGCAACCGTGCGTACCGTATGTTTTGGTTCGCTGATCAGATTAGTCAGCGACCAAGCGAGTACTAATAAATATTCCCATTTATTATTACGCCGTGACAAACTGGCGTGAAGGCCATACGACCTCACGCGGTCGAGTGTTCAGCTCTGGAATGTCGCTTACTACGTCAACATCACCGGCAATCTCAAGCCCTGCTTCATCCAGCGAGAAAGCTGGATCTGGCTTGATTAAGTTCGAACCATCCAAGATGACCTGGCGGTGGTGGCAGTTCCAATACAGAAACTTCGTCAAACTCCGAAAGGTCACGGACATTGAGGACCAGAAGTGCCTGCTGTTGGACTCCCTCGGCATTGACGCTGGAGAGATGCTTTTCTCCATGTGCCTTCCAGGCAATCCAGACGACTTCACTGTCGCACAGATCGTCGACAAGCTTGAACATGCCTATGTAAAAAAGACGAACGCTGCAACCGAGTGGGCTAACTACTTCAAACTACAGCAAGAGTCCGGCGAAACCTTGCTGGATTTCTCAAATCGCCTCCGACGAAAGGCGTTCCCGATCGCATTTCCAGCCGACGTGCTCGAAAAGAACATGTCGGCGACCTTCCTGAATGGAATCGCCAGCGACGCTACACGCCAGCATTTGCAATCCCAGACCTACACCACTCTGGAGAAGGCTCTGGAGATCTGCGAGGAGTATGAGCTCCGGAGGAGCAACAGGAAGGGCAGTATGGCGCCTGATGTGGCTCGCGTGGACAATGCACGCCGTGGCGGTGGCGCACGAGGAAGAAACCGCGGCGGCGGCCGTGGCGGATAGCAGCGGCGCGGCGCTGGTCCCGACAGGCAGCCTGCAACCGGTGGAGGTACCGCAAGCGTGTGCGATGGCTGCGGCTCCAGCCAACATGTCCGAGCGGAGTGCTGGGCGAAGGAGCTAGCCTGTAAAAACTGTGGAAGAAAGAGCCATATTGCGAAAGTGTGCAGAAGCGCGAAGCAGCCGCAACGCGGACGGGGTGGACGCGGAACTTTTCTCGTGGAGGAGGAGCTGGATGTGCTGTCTGTCGAAGCTGCTGCCGGGCGATCCATCCATGTGCCGCTCAAGCTTAACGGCGTTCCTGTGTCACCAGTCCTGGATACAGGCTCTAGTGTCACTATTGTGACTGCTGACACGTGGAGGTCGCTGGGATCACCGAAGCTGTCGCCATACACGTCCCTCCTGCGAAGCTTCACGGGCCACGCCCTGAAGGTCATTGGGACCGTGACAGTAGACGTCACGCACGGTCGGAACAGCAAGGCGCTACCCGTTATCGTCGTGGTCAGCGGCGGCAACGTGCTGGGGAGAGACTGGATCCGGGCCCTCGACCTGAGCCGATTGAGCCTACGAGATCTCCAGTCAGCCTCCGTGTCTGCCGTCTCCGGAATTACAGTGGAGGAGCTGCTGGCGAAACACAGCGCTGTGTTCCGCGAAGAGTTAGGCCATTGCCGTCACTACAAAGCACACCTGCACTTGAAACCCGGAGCCGCGCCGGTGTTTCGAAAGGCGCGACCAGTACCGTTTGCATTCCGGGAAGCCCTGGAGCGCGACCTGGACCGCCTCGTGGAGAAAGGGATCCTGACTCCGGTCGAGCGGGCGGACTGGGCAGCTCCGGTAGTGACCGCGCAGAAGCGGGCCGGGGACATCCGCACCTGTGCCGACCTTAGCACGGGCCTGAATGACGCCCTCGATGTCCAGCAGTATCCGCTGCCGACACCCGATGAGCTCTTCGCCAAGCTCAATGGCGGTCGGAAATTCACCACCCTTGACCTGGCGGAGGCGTACGCCCAGGTCGAGCTGGACGACGACAGTAAGAAACTGGTGGTAATCAATACCCACAAGGGGTTGTTCCGATACAACCGCCTTCCTTTTGGCGTGGCGTGCGGCCCCAGCATCTTTCAACAGATAATGGAAAGCGTCCTCCAAGGCTGCGAGGGCGTGGCCATCTATCTCGATGACATCATTGTCACCGGGGCGACCGAAGAGGAGCACCTGAGGAACCTGGAAAAGGTCCTTCAGCGTTTGGAGGAGCACGGGTTCACGCTCAAACGGAGCAAGTGTCACTTCCTGCAGAACTCCGTGGAGTATCTGGGGTTCGTGGTGGACCACCAAGGTCGCCACATCTCCCAGGATCGAGTGAAGGCTCTCCGAGAAATGGCCCGTCCCAGCAACATCAGTGAGCTCCGCGCGTTTTTGGGTTTGGTCAACCACTACGGGAAGTTCGTCCGCGACCTTTCCGGGAAGTGTGCCCCGTTCCATGCCCTCCTGAAGACCGGTGTTCCCTGGTCTTGGTCCAAGGACTGCGAGTCCCAGTTCCTGTCCCTGAAGGACCAAATTGTCCGCGCAACCTTCCTGGTCCACTATGACCCGCGGATGCCACTGGTCCTTGCGGCGGACGCGTCCCAGTATGGCGTCGGTGCCGTGATATGCCACCGTTTCCCAGACGGAACGGAACGCCCGATTGCCCATGCGTCCAAGACCCTGACAGCGGCCGAGAAGAACTACGGACAGATAGAAAAGGAAGCCCTGACACTCGTCTTTGGCTGCCGGAAGTTCCATCAGTACATCGCCGGGCGCGAGTTTACTCTGTGTACTGACCACAAGCCGCTTCTGAGCGTTTTCGGTACCAAGAAGGGAGTTCCAGTGGTGACAGCAAACCGTTTGCAGCGATGGGCGCTCATGCTGATGGGGTACTCCTTCAGCATCGAGTACCGCCGGACGGAGGACTTCGGCCAGGCGGACGGCCTCAGCCGCCTACCGCTGCATTCGACGGAGCTGGACGGACTGTACGGGCTGGGGATGGACAGCGTGGTGAACGCAATCCACCTAGATAACGTGTCTCGTTTCCCGTGGCAGTCGAAGCCATTGCACTAGAGACCGCCCACGACCCGGAACTGTCCAGAGTGTTCGAGTACGTCATGACTGGTTGGCCTGCCTCTGTCGAAGAACACCTGCGTCCGTACAAACGACTCGAACACGAACTGGTGGTGGTAAATGACTGCATCTGCTGGGGCTCCCGGACAGTCATACCCACGAAACACCGACAGGAAATACTCGACTACCTGCATGCCGCCCACATGGGCGCGGGGAAGATGAAGGGTGAGGCCCGGGGATACTGCTGGTGGCCACACATGGATGCGGACATTGAGCGCATCTCGAAAGAGTGTCGCATCTGTTCCGAGCGAGCGAAGGAAACCGCCAAGGTACCACTGTCGCAGTGGGAAATCCCCGATGCGCCATGGAAACGGCTCCACATGGATTTCGCCGGTCCATTCCACGGGACAATGCTCCTGCTCATCGTGGATGCCATGTCGAAGTGGCCGGAGGTAGTGCAGATGAAGCACGCCACTTCCGACGGGGTTCTGGAAGCGCTACGGAACCTATTCAGCCGTTACGGTGCGTGTACCGAAATGGTGACGGACAACGGCACCCAGTTCACGTCGCAGGAGTTCGCCGACTTCTGCGCGGAACACGGCATCCGACACCTTCGAACACCACCCGGCCATCCACAATCGAACGGCCAGGCTGAACGTTACGTTCAAACGTTCAAGGATGGAATCACGAAGCTGATGGCGGACCGGAAGTCGCTGTCGGCCGCGCTCCGAGAATTCCTTTTCCGGTACCGGAGCGCCCCCCACGCAACGACAGGGAAGTCTCCCGCAGAACTCTTCCTTGGCCGGAAGCTGCGTTCCCAGCTGGACTTGCTGGTGCCGGTCATGCTGACCACGACGGAAAGCAACCGGCGGCGCTACCAGCAGAATTTTGACAAGCGAACGAAGGCGAAGCATTTCCAAGCCGGTGACTACGTGATGGTGCGGGATTACCGTCCGAGTCGTACAGTCGACTGGCAGAGAGGCCAGCTGGTCAAGCGGGAAGGTTCGCGCATATGGATCGTGCTGGTTAACGAAACTGAACTGCGCAGACATGAAAATCAGATGCGGCCGCGACAATGGCTGCATCCGGATGAGCGCGCAATACCGGCAGCACCCAATGCACTGAAAATGCGCGGTACACCGACTGCACCGACTGTACCTCATCTACCCGAAGCACCGAGCGCACCGCCTGTCGCATCAGCCCATGCGCCTGCAGTTGTTGACGACCAACCTGAGAAGTTGGAACAGGAGCCGACGAAGCAGCTTCAGACGGCAGTGCCAGAAACTGCCGCTGCAAAATCCGAAAAGCCGCAGGCGAACTCAGCAGTTCCACCTACGGCAAAATCCAAACCGCCGAAGACGCGCGTCGCCAAAACCGACACCACTACTCAGCAGCAACCACAACCGGAAATCCGAAAAAGCGGACGAGAGGTTAAGAATCCGGATCGTTTGATTATGGATCCAAAATTCGGGAAATAATTTTTCTTAATATTTTCTGGATGTTTTTGGCTGAGTGGGTTTTCCCCACTGGGGGAGGTGTCAGATGTGCATAGCAACCGTGCGTACCGTATGTTTTGGTTCGCTGATCAGATTAGTCAGCGACCAAGCGAGTACTAATAAATATTCCCATTTATTATTACGCCGTCTTCGCAAACATGAAAAAACAAAGTAAGTGTTTACGTACGCATCAAATAGTGAAAGCAGCATCTTTGCATACATCAAAAGCGTACAAATTTGTAATATCAAGCAGCGTTAACAAAAACAAACGTACCAGCTTCGTAAACATCAACAAGCGCAGGAATAATTTGCGAAAGCATCACACAGTGAAGAAAAAAGTAGTCGGGTGCAATGCGGTGCATCAAAAAGTATAGATAACAACAGTTTCGCATGCACGCATTAAAAAGCGAAGACAACAACATTGTCGCGTGCTTAAAAAGGCGAATGGGTTCACAGTCCGATCCACAAAGAACGTGGCTCATTTCCGGCCCGCCTTCCACAACGCGACTTGCTCTTTGCGCAGCAAATCCGCCAGTTCAACATCCGATCACCATTGACCCGGTGCTGTCCGTCCCTGCCGGCATGTTCGTACCGTGCGTACGCTCGCATCGAACGCACATACACCGTCTGGTCGCGTTTCAGGTAGTCTTTGGCACGAATCACCTGGTCAGCCGTTGCGGTGTCGCTCTCGCCATTTGTGCACCAAGTGAACAACACTTGATGGGGATAACACGCGATGACGCGCGCTGGCTGCCACCACGGTCCCATTTTGCACAGGGAATGCACAAACACTTCTTCTCCCGTGTGATGAATAGTACCCATTCTGGTGCCGTTGGCGTCGCCCCCGGCCCCCTGCGGACAGTCCACGCATTCACACTGACCCCTGGTCAGCTTCGCCACACTACTAGCGCACGGCGCGGCGTGCGGGGGCGTGGCTGACTATTTACACACAGTGACGCCTTAGGCCTCTTGCTCTCTCTAGCTTCTAGAAACATTATAGTTATCCAGTGAAGCAGCTGGCCAGCGTGCATGCCTCATGTGAACAGCTTTCGCTCTCTCTCACTCTCTTCTCTCTGTAATAAAGTGCACTGAATGCACTTTTCCATGCATGCATGCAGGCATCATTGCTGAAAATTCCCTCGCGCGCACTACGCAACACACCGCGTGCTGCGCGATGATAAGAAACTCATTTAGTATTCGTTCTCATACTCTGAATATTACAAATGTTGACAATAAGTTTTCATTTTTTTACCCATTAAAGAGGCGCCATGTATGTTGTTTTGGTTTGCTTATCAGCAGTCATTCTCCAGCTCGTTGAATACACTTGAAAGGTAAGTGAGTGTTGGCGCACCAGTATGCATGCATTCATTTTTACAACTCCAGCACAGTGTGCACATCAGCATCATTGTTTTTCTCGAAAACAATATTTGCACATGCTGCGCTGGTCTCGTTAATAAAATGTCGCAGTTAATTAGCTTCTTAATGATTTTGATAGCCGGAATAACAGCTTGTGCTGCTGTGGCCCTGCAGCAGCCACTGTTAGCCAACGCCGCCGCCGCCGCTACTGCTACTGCTCCTGGATATATCACTTGCCCACATTTCTGCGTTTGCCGTGAGATATTTTGGAAGTGTACCGACAGCAAGGCAAATTTGTGGCCGTTGGATAATCAGCCAGCAGCAATTGTAAGGGGAGTTCAGATGTTGGATATGACTGGGTCGGACGTTAACGTTCTCCCCAACTGGCCGCCAACACACAATTTTCCTGATCTGCAAATGATTTTCCTTTCGCAAACCGTCTTTGACGGTTCCCGTCGCTGTCGAGAGCTGGAGTGTCTGGAGAAGTTGGGTCTGCGCATTATTGCCAACCGCTGTCCAGCAGGTAATATCGAGCAAGCAGTGACGTTACGTAATAGTCTCATCGTTTACACGATAAGAAAAGTGAAAATTATTTGTCGAAATTAATTTCAGATTACGAAGCGGCTGCGGTTTCCCGCCATGCTGCTCGTGGACTTCCGCTCAGCCGCCGTTCTCAACTGTTACCGAGTCCTGGTCGACAACTACGCTTCACCGCGACAGAGAGTTTAGCACACGGGCCATGGCGCCAGCCCCCGATGACGCAAGCGGTAAGACAACGGCAGTACAGAATACAACATCAATAAGAATAAGCCGGCAAACCACACCAGCGTTATCATTGCTGCTCTCCTCTGCGGCACCGACGCTGGGGCCGTCAACTCTGGCGACTTCCACGCGATGGTCTACACGGCGGTCGACGCAGGTGTTGACGCAGGCCACTAGCACCAGCACCAGCACCAGCATCACCACTACCAGTACAAGTCGCAGTCGTGATGCCGTAATTACTGTACCAACGGTTATGCAGCCGGCTGCCAATAAAATCCTAGCGAGAACTTCGCTAGCACCGACACGAAACCTAACTCGCCCTTCCACAGCAGCTATGAATTTAAGTAAGGTGACATCACCGTCAGCATCAACACGTCGCTCACTCATTACAACCACTATCATCACCATCCCCACCAACACCACTACTCGTCGATCCGGCACCGACGCCACAACCATGACAACAGAAACCCGGGCGTCCAGTGTAGCGGTCACGTTGTTAGCGATAGCCAACAGTGACGGGTTTGCGACAACCGTTTCGTCCTGGTCGTCGTCGCCGCCGTCATCGTCGGCGCCGACATTGACACCACTTGCAGTTAACATCAGCACCAAGCGTCCACTGCCAAATGTTTCCATTCCGGTTCCGTCATTGTTATTACTCACACGTAACAATGACAGCAACGGCAACAGCAGCAGCGGAAATGATGTTTTGAGTAATAATTCCAACGCAACAACGGGGCTCGTTACTTCCAACTCCACCACAATCCCCACCACGACTGCCGCCACCACTACCGGCACGACATCCGATTTATGTAACATTACCTGTCCTCCCTGTCTGCTTGTAGGTGCTGAGGTACATCGGGGATTGGCCGTAAATCAGTATGCGATAGCAGGAATAACAGTCGGCTGTCTTCTCTTGGGCGGCTTAATTGTCATTTGTATCCTGTGGGCACGCGGATTTCGTTTCTCTCGAGTTAGAGACAATGCCAGGAACCGCGGCGGCAGGGCAGCGCCTCCCGCGCCTCCCCATGGTCGCCACAACCGTCCCGGACAAGAAGTCGAAGCCGGTCGCATTCCGCCCCACCAGCAGCCTCGAACTCCAATTTTCAACAGAAATCGCTCGGTGGTGTCGCCATCGCGATCAGAGCATCACTGGTTTTCACCAACAACCAACCGAAGCCCGTCTCGTGCTCGCCATATGCCGACGCCACGTCCCAGTCCATTCGACTCTCTCTTCGCAGCGCGCCGGCACAGGGACCAGCTGTCTCCGCTTCACCCGCCGCATGAGGCCGTAATCCATCACAATCCCGAGTACAATGGGGGGCTGCCGCGGAACGACGCTGAGAACGTCCACCACCGCCATCACTATGGCAATGACGAGAGGATTTACCAGAACGTGGACCTTCGTAACAACCCACTGTCGGCGGAAGAAGGCGGTGAGGTTTTCATCATACTATCAATGTTTGCTAAACAAATATTTCTTCATATACTCAGGGCTGCAAAATCGTCACCATATAAATTTGCTGGATTTCGGCTACGAGAACCCTGACAACAACGATAACAATAGCCACAATAACAATATGCAGGGCCACGGCGTCAACAACGAAGACGAAAACCAACCTGCCGTTTTACCAGGTAAAGATATTTAGAAAGCGCGCTTGAGACCAATTAATCGCAAAATTTGTGGGTTAGCACAATTGCCTGCGGAAGCAGCGTCGTCGTCTTCGGTTTCTTCTCCGCGGCAGCAGCCGTTGTTTCGCGTCAGCGAAGAAGGTAACAAACATGCAGTCTGTGAACTGAAAATATTTGAATATTTGAGAAATTCCATGTATAGGTTATCGTCTACCGCTGCCAAGCAGCCTCAGTGCCGAACGGGAGATTAACACTATCGAAGAGAATGACAATGAATGGGAGGACGAAGGAGAGCAAGGAGACTACGAGGACGGTGAACACCATGCAGTCGGCGGAGGCCACGACGACGACGACCAAAATAACGACAGTGACGACAACGGTAATTATAAATAAATACGGCAGTATCTCCTAAAAAACACATCGCCTGTATTATCAGGGCGCGAAGCGCTACCGGTGAGCGGTGATCTGGGCGTTGGACAAGGTGAACAGCAACAACACCCGTATGACTATCCTCTACCGTTGTCGGAGACCGAACACCCAGCTGGGCACCGTGGACGCGGCGGGCGCAGAGGAGGAGGAGGGAGAGAACGTGGCGGTCGTGGTGGAGCGCCCGAGTGGAGCCGAGAAGTCGGAAGTCGCCTGTCGAGACTGGAGTGAATTGTTTTATTAATTTTGCGCCGTAGGGGGTTTCTTTTTCTTCTCCTCAATTGCTCCTTTGTTATATAAATGTACAATTTTTGGGCAGATGTTATTTGTTAGGTCGAAAATTTTTCCTGAAAATTAAATCCCATTTTTTTGTAAAATACAAGTCTTAAAGGGCGGCGTCGGCTTTATTCGCTGTGTTTATTTCAGTCTAATATAGTAACTACGATTCGTTTCTTGAGTTTTTCAATAATAAGCAGCAAACAAAAGTCTTGTTCCGGTCAGCTTTGCGGTCAGTTTTTATTTCCGGTAATAACACGGTAACAGAAGCAGTTCACTGCGCATACAAGAAACGAATGTAAGAAGTCCCGGAAGTTGCTAATGTTCATGCACTATTAATCGGGACGGGCGGGCTGGAACTAGTTCCCATGCGCTTGCTAACAACTACTTGCATCTGGCAGTTCAGGCATAACAGTCGCAGTTTACCGCGTTTTCGAATAATCAGAGTGCAGCAGCTAGCACAGCGCGGACATTGTACAAAACATTTAAAGTAGTTTTTCAGCACTTGTTGTACATGGCGGACGTTAAAGTGG